GCTGTTGGGTTTGGTTTGGTCGTATTTTGTTGAAGATTTTTGCATCTATGTTCTTCATAGATATTGGTCTGCAGTTTTGTACCAGGTTAATACTGGCCTCATAGAATGAGTTGGAGAGAATTTGCTCCTCTTCAATTTTTTTTTGGAATAGTTTCAGGAGAATTAGTATTAGCTCTTCTTTGAAAATTTGGCAGAATTTGGCAGAATTTGGCAGTGAGGTAAGGCAGACCTGGAATTTGTTGGGAAATTTTGTATTACTGAGTCAATCTCGTTAATCCTTTTGGTTTATTTGGGTTGTCTATTTCTTCTGGATTGAATCTTGGAAGGTCATGTGTCCCGAAATTTTTAAATGTTCTCTAGGCTTTTTAGATTGTTAATGTATAGTTGTTCATAATAGTCTCTGATGATTTTTATTTCTGTGGTATTAGTTATAATGTCTCCATTTTCATTTCTGATTTGATTTATTTGGGTCTTTTTTTCTTGGTCGGTCTAGCTAGTGGTTAATTTTGTTTATCTTTTCAAAAACCGAACTTATGGTTTTCTAGTCCTTTGTAATTTTTGGTCTCAATTTCATTTATTTCTGCTCTAATCTTTACAAATTTTTTTCCTTCTATTAATTTTGGGTTTAGTTTGTTATTACTTTTCTAGTTCTTTGGTGGGTATTATTAGACCATTTATTTGGAATCTTTCTTCTTGTTTTTATGTAGGTGATTATTGCTATAAGCGTTCTTCTTAGCAATGCTTTTGCTGTATCCCATAGATTTTGGTATGTTGTGTTTCAATTTTCCTTTATTTCTATTTTTTTCCTTAATTTCTTCCTTAACCAAGTGGTCATTCAAGAGCATGTTTTTAAAGTATTATGTATTTGTAGATACCTAGGTTTTTCCTGTTATTGATTTCTAGTTTTATTTTGTTGTGGTCTGAAAAGATACTTGATATACTTATGAGTTTTAAAAATGTGTGAAATTTGTTTTTTTTTGTGTGTCCCAATCTATGATCTATTCTGAAAGAATGTTCCAGGTGCTGATGAGAAGAATGTGTATTCTGTGGCTGTTGTGTAAAATGTCCTGTAAATGTCTGTTAGGTATATTTGTTCAAATGTGCATTTTAAATTCACCGTTTCTTTGTTAGTTTCCTGTCTAGTGCTGTAAGTGGGGTATTAAAATCCTGAACTACTTTTCTATTGAAGTGTATCTCTCCCTTTAGATCTAATAATATTTACTTTATATATCTTGGTGCTCTGGTGTTGTGTACATATAATTATTTAGAATTGTTATTTTCTTTTGCTGAATTGATTCCTTGATCATTATATAATCACTGTTGTCTCCTTTAATACATTTGTATTAAAGTCTTTTTTATATAATGTAAGTATAGGCAATCCTTTTGGTTTGCATGGCATGTCTTTTTCTATCCCTTTACTTTCAGTCTGTATGTGTCTTAACAGTTGAGATAGATTTCTTATAGCAGCATCTTTTAAAAAATACATTCTGCCAGTTTATATCCTTTAAGTGTAAAGTTTAATCTATTTACATTCAAATATATTACTGATATGTGAGGGCTTATTCCTGTTATTTATTAATTGATTACTGATTGTTTGGTATATCATTTGTTCCTTTTTTTCTCCCTTAATGTTTATTATTGTCTGTAGTGGTAATATTTGTGTCCTTTCTCTTCTTTATTTTTGTGTTTGTGCTAGCATTTAGTTCTGTACTTTCATATGTTTTCATGATTGTAGATGGCATCTCTTTCTTCCCAGGGAGGACTCCCTTCAGCATTTCTTGCCAGGCCATTCTAGGGTAATGATTTCTCTCACTTTTTGCTTAGTTTGGAAAGATTATTAGCACTTCATTTATGAAGGGTAACTTTACTGGGTATAGTATCATTGGCTTGCAGGGTTTCTTTTTTTTTCCCCCCAGCACTTTGAATAGATCATCTCATTCTCTCCTGGACTGTTAAATTTCTGAGGAAAAAACTCAATGTTAGTTTGATGAGGTTTCCTTTATGAGTGACTTGATGCTTTTCTCTTGCTGGGTTTTTTTTTTTTTTTTTTTTTTTTTGAGATGGAGTTTCGCTCTTGTTGCCCAGGCTGGAGTGCAATGGCCGATCTCAGCTCACTGCAACCTCACCTCCAGGTTCAGTTCTCCTGCCTCAGCCTCCCGAGTAGCTGGGACTCTTGCTGTTTTTAGGAATACTCTCTTGATCTTTGACTTACTACAATTTGATTATAATGTGCTGAGGAGAAGACTTTTTTGCATTGTGTTTGGGAATCTCTAAGCATTCTGTATCTGGATGTTTAAATCTCTTCCTAGACTTAGGATGTTTTCAGCTATTATTTCATTAAATAGGTTTTCTAACTTTTTAATTTTCTCTTTGTCTTGTGGAACATCAAAAAATTTGGTCCCTATAAGGTATCTCATATGTCATGTAGGCTTTGCTCAATTTTTTTTTTGTCTGCATGTGTTATTTTAAAAGACATGTCTTCAAGTTTTGAAATTCTTTCTTCTTGAGCTAGTCTATTGTTGAGCTATTGAAAGTATTTTGTATTTTACTTAATAAATCATTCAGTTCAATTTGTTTTGTGCTTTTTGAAATCTCTAGAAAATTTCTCATTCATATACTAACTTATTTTTCTGATTTATTTGTATTGTTTTTCTGTATCCTCTTTTATCTTACTGAGCTTCTTTAATATTGGTATTTTGAATTCTTTATCCAGGATTTCATAGATTTCTTTTTTTAGTTAATCTGTTGCTAGAGAATTATGTCCCTTTGGAAGTACTATCTTTGTGCTGTTTTTGTTTGTTTGTTTGTTTGTTTTTCCATGTTTCTTATATCCTTACATTGATATCTGAACATCTGTCATGACAATCACTTCTTTCCACTTTTTAACTTGCCTTCCTAGGGGAAGACTTTTTCCTGAAGATGTGTGTGTGGTGTTTGTTGGGTATGGTACTTTGGCTTTGATTCTGGGTGCATGCCGTAGTGTAGCTTTCATGATTTCTTTGGCTCTAAATAGCTTCATTGAAGTCTGTGATTTTCCTCAGTGGCCTAGGTTGTGGTTATTAGGGAAGGCTGTGGTGAACTTTTGCTTGTGACAGGGACACCAGATGGGCCTGTCCTTGGACCCCAGTGGTAGCAGCAGCATGCTAAGCATATCTGTCCTTGGGCCCTAGGACAGTGTATGCTGGCACTGTATTAGCAGACCCAAGCAAGCCAATTCTTGGGCCTCCAGGCAGCTTGTTTGGGTGATGGTAGTGGCAGTCATGGACTGGTGATGAGTGTGTCCTCGGGCACTTGGGCAGTTTGCATGGCGTAGGTGATAGCAGTAGTAGTGGTGGGACTAACCTCTGAGTCCCAAGAGCTCCACAGTGGTGGTGGCAGTGGTTGTGACCGGCTGGGCAGGCCAGTCCCCAGACTCACAGGTAACACGTGTGTGTGTGTGTTGGGGGGTGCCCATTGTGATGGTAGTGGCAGGTTGGGTGGCCCCAACTTCAGGGCCCTTGTTGGAGTGCTCAGGTGCCAATATTTGTGGACTGGCCTGGGTACTCCCCAGGCCTCCGGATGCCAGGATTGGGTACTAAGGGGTGGGGGTCAGAGCCAGGCCCAGTGGACTCATCCTCACATCCTTCAGTAGTGCTTGCAGATACTGACTATGGAAGGCAGGGGTAGTGTGACCCCAGGCCCCAGAATGTTCATGTTGGGGTGGCAGCAGCCATACTGCACTCCTGGTACAGGGGAGAATAGAGTCAGTTTCAATGGCAGCAGTGGTACGCAAGTGACTGGGAAGTGTACATTTCACTTGCCCTTTGGCCCCAGTTGAGGCAGCCTACTGCTGTGGCTGTGGCTGTCACCTGGTGGATCTGTTGTCCTTAGGGTGATTAAAAATGCACAGCAGCTTCACAGTTGGGAGCAGTGTGGTAGCTGCCAACGGCTCACACTTCAGCCCTAAAGGTAGCGGGCAGCTGGAGTTGTGGCTGCAGGTGGAGCATGTCATTAAGGTTCCAGGGATATGAAGATGCAGGGGCTGTTGGGCCCAGGGCAGAATGCAGTCTGGTGAGGGCTGAGATATCAAAGCGACAACTTGCTGTAGCTGCTTAGGACTTGCGGGTGTGTGGGAACATGTGTGCTCCCTCTCTGGGGCAATGTCATCACATGGTCTTCAGGTAGCTCCCTATATCAGTCTTGGGGCTCACAATAGTCAAGGGGAATTCCTATGGCTGGAATGTGGGAGTCTGTAGTGGAAATGTTGATCACTAGGAGTCACCCACTTACTCTTTTCTCATCTGGAGAGCCTTTCCTGGCTCCTAGCCTATCCTACCTGAACAGACTGTATTGCTCTCTTCCCCTTCCTTGCTTCAGGTATTTCCTGTCACTCTCTGTAGAATTCCAGTGTTCTTTCTTATATGATATATGTGAACTGTGATTATCCACTCATTTTTTTTGGTTCTTCTTCGTGGAAGAGAATACAAGATGTCTGGTCAGGCATCTGGAAGCCTCACTGATGTTTTCAGTGTAAAGACTTTCATATATCTTTCACAATTTTGTATCTGTCTTCATAAGGGATTTTGTTAAGTAGTTTTCCACTCTCTGTAGGACTTGGTTTTGAAGGAGAGTTATGTTGGCCTCATAAAATGCTTAAGAAAGTGTTTTCTTTTTTCTTTTGTTATTGTCTAGAGGAGCTTGTATAAGAGTGACAGGTTTTTGTTTTTTTTTCCTCTGTAAGTATTTGGAGAAATTTCAATTTTTAGAATTATTTTGAATGAGCGATTATATCTAAAACACTTAGAAAGTAACTGGCATTTGATAAATGCTAAAAAATATTAGTATTCTTGTGTGCTTGAATATCCATTTTCCTGTGTAAATCATTACATTAAAATGCTAGGACAGAACAGCTGTGGGCTTTACACAAGGGTAACATACTTGAAGCCATTCCTTTAGAAGTTATCCTTCGGGATTTCAGTATTTATTCAATTATCAATTACCACTCAGTGCATTTTCAGAAGATTTTTATTTTAGTTTTTCAACTGTTCTGCTGCCATAAGATTCCTAATACATAAATGAGAGGCAGGTTTTGATAGAACATAGGTTTTTTTTTAAAGTTCAGGGATACCTGTGCAGGTTTGTTACATAAGTAAACTGTGTCAGAGGGGTTTGTTGTACAGATTATTTCATCACCCATGTATTAAGCCTCGTACTCGCTATTTTTCCTGATCCTCTTCCTCCTTTCACCCTTCACCCTCCAATAGCCCCAAGTGTATTTTGTTCCCTTCTATGTATCCATGTGTCCTCATCATTTAGCTCCTACTTATAAATGAGAACATGTGGTATTTGGTTTTCTGTTGCTGCATTAGTTTGCTAAGGATAATGGCCTCCAGCTGTATCCATGTTCCTGCAAATGACATGATCTCATTCTTTTTTATGGCTGCATAGTATTCCATGGTATACATCTACCACATTTTCTTTATCCATTCTATCAATGATGGGCATTTAGATTGATCCAGTGTCTTTGCTATTGTAAATAGTGTTGCAGTGAACATGTGTGTGCATGTGTTTTTATAGAAGAACAATTTACATTCCTTTGTGTACATACCCAGTTATGGGATTGCTGGGTCAAACAGTATTTCTCTCTTTAGGTTTTTGAGGAAACACCCACCCTGTCTTCCACAGTGGTTGAGCTAATTTACACTCCAACTAACAATGTGTAAGTGCAGAACATAGTTTTAAATAATGAATATGGCTAACTCCATCTCATGTCCATGAAGAATTTTTTTGCAGCTATTAGATTTACACTGAGGTCATGACACATCTACTTTCTTACTAAAATAATCCCAAATATCTCCTTTCATTCCAAATTCCAGCCCTCTCTCTCCTTTCCCCTCCACAGTGGAATTTTTCAAGGGTTACCTCCATTCAGAGACCCCATATTTTCACATCCACTCACTTCTCAACCCAAACGTGGTTTCCATTTCTACCATTCCACTGAAATGACTTGTTGCCAGGGTGTTTCCAAACTGTCACATCATTAAGGTCATGATTCTGTACTTACGTGATCTCTGCAGCATTTGATGTTATTGACCACATCAGCTTTCTTGAAGTATGCTCTGCCATTGAATTCTAGAGTGGTCCATGCTTACTGTTTTTCTCCTCTGTATTTACCACTGTTTCTATTTACACTCTTAACTGACTTGCCTTTATATATATGACATCGACTGTTGAGTTCTTCAAGGTTTAATTTCTTGAAGCATTTAGTTTCAATCACTTTGATATGCAGTGTTTCCCCTTAACTTGTGTACATATCAAGTACAGTGTGTTACTTCTCTGAGAACTAAATCCATATATTCCATTATCTTGCTGACATTCCCATTTGGATGCTTTTCAGGCACCTGAGATTCAGCGCTAAAACTGGACTCCTGTGGCCCTCTCACAGCAGTTCTTACAGTTCTCTCCCTTAGTGAAAGGTAACACCATCTTCCTAGACCTGGAGACAGGGTGACTGAGAGCCATCCTTGACTCTACTCTCCCTCATCCCATAGTCCAGCAATTGTTAAGTCCTGCTCACTTTATCTCTTCACCGTCTCTCAATTCTACTTATTTTTTTTTCCAGTGCCACTATTTGAAAGTCTGGGGTGTTATTCATTTATCAGGAGTACTACAAAAGACTAATATTAATAACTCTTCTCTAAACTTTGAAAATTGCTAGGCTATGCATTGCAGCCAGAATATTTTTCAAACTTAAATCTGAGCATGGCATGCTGTTTCTCGAAAGTATCTGTTTAATGTCTGGCTCTACCAAGGGGATGCAGTCTGTTTCGTTTCAGAAAATTATCAGCATTCAATATAGACTTGTTAAATGATAATGTACAAGAAAAAAGAATCAAAAGACTGTTTTACCACCTGGAAATAAACATTATATTTTCCTCTGATATGTAGGTAAGAACTTCAAATATAAGACATAATTTAAAAGGTTATAATTGACATAGCCAGGGATTATAAATAATATCACACACAATAAGCTCTTAATGCAAGAAATTAATCTCCAGGATAGATCATACTAATCTGTCCAACCCAGTCCTCTGTTCTGAAAGCAGCACACGAAAAGGCAGAGAAAGAAAAATAATCTCTACGACATGGCCTGTTAAACAAGTATTTATTTCCTGAATAACTATTAGGTGCTAGCTATAATGGGCTATTCAGTGGAGGACAGTGGTCAAAGCCTCTTATGATGTACGGCAGATGCCAGAAAGATATGAAAGATGTGAAGGTACAAAAAAGGAAGTTGGAGTCACATCCAGCCACAGGACCAAGCCTCTTTGGGGCAGGAGACTTGGAAGTGTTGAAGGAGAGTAGAATCTATTCAGAAAGAAATTGGGGGGAGGTCCTTCCAGTCTGAATGAAGATTAACTAGGCATAATGTAACTGGCATCATGGCCGTGACATCTGAGAGGTTATGAAGGCCTCCACTTGGGTAGTGGCAATCAGAACAGAAGTGGTCAACGCATTGACACTGGACCTACTAGGCTTTCTGAGTTGGGAGGCGAGAACAACAGCACGAGGAGCAAAAAAGAGGATGACCGAGAAATTCCGAGCCCAGAAAATGCCAGTCCCAGTAAGGCAAACAAAGAAGCTGGAAGGAGATTATGAGGGTCGAGGTTCTGAAGACAGGGAGAGACAGATGATGTTTAGTTTCTGACCTGCTGAGGTGTAGATGCCTATTAGATCGAGAGACAGGACTAGAAATGGGAGGATAAAGTTTGAGAAGAGAACCAGGAAAACTTGGCAAGACTTCAGCATCCCTACTTAATTATCATACTGTGAATCTATAATCCATAAATTTTATTGAAAGCATTCTGGAATCTTTCCTAAAAGTTTTTGACAATTTGTATAAATCTTAACATGTCACTTACAACTAACATTCCTTTTTAACATCCAGTGTCTACTTAATTAACTAACAATTGTTTTCTATATACAGTTTATTCAAGGTTGATTCGGTCCTGCTCTTACATCCCAGCTGGTGTTTGGGTCCTAAATTTAACACTGAGAATTTCAGTCGGGCTACAGAGGAAAGAAGTCTAACTAATGATGCCTTCTTGTCGGGCAAATAATTTCATTTTGAAATTCTATAGCAAAAGAACAACAATAAAGTATTGGTTCCACTTTTAAATAAATAAGGGGTTATTTTGCTGCTGAAAGTTTTCATTCAAATGACTGATCAGATCTCACATGTCTGTTTAAAAATGTCTGACTTAGGTCGTTACAAAATGACAGACAGTGATAAACTAGATGATAGTTAGAAGCAAGACAATGAGGCATTGTTTACACAGAAGATTGAGTAACTGGTTTGACAAAAGGGGTTCTTGGGTATCTATTGTATGTACAACTACGAGATTTACTGGAGCTTTTATAATTTCTGCAAGGCTCTTTTCCAGCCAGCTTCATTAACTTGAAGTAAATCAAATCATGCAGAAATCTGGCTCAGCCAGAAAGCAACCCAGTGAGATACAACATGAAGAAAAACAGACACTGGATGATAAGATTTAGAATCTTTGGCATTTTTCGTAAACATTTTGTTTGAAGATTATTAAATTACAACCCAGAGACAAAAAAATAAAATAAAATAAAATAGGGAACTCACTATTAAATGAGATCTTTTTACCTTAACTTTTCTTTATAATACATACATATATAAAAACTGCACAAAGTATGTGTCAACAAAATACAGTCTTTAAAACTTAAATATCGTTTAAACAGAGTTAATTGCATACATTTTATATATGCACAAAGTCAGGATTTTTACATGGCAGGGAAATACTGTGGAATGATGAGGTCTGCAGAAACAGATGCTGTCGAAGGAGGGCTCTTGGGTGGTATTTTCTAGAAATGGGGTTCTGAAATAAATTTTTATTGTTTGTAGCTTATTTTACTTCTAAGAGGAACAAAAGATACATTTGGGCAGCTGAAGTATTTCTACTTTCTCCTTAAAACATTCAGGCAAATGAAATGATTATAATAATTAGGTAAGCAGCCTTATTAGTTTCTTGGTCTTCAGTTCCTTATCTTTCTAAATACCTAGAGAATTCATTCATTCATTTCTCCCCTACCCCCACCTGCCTTTCTGAAATTGTATATTGACATTTTATAATATTTTGAAAATATGCAAAAAGTAAAGTCAGGAGAAGTGGTAGCAGAAAGCAACCAAATACTTTCACGGAAGCCTCATTTTTCAAGTGAGTGATCTCTAGGGACCTTCCTGGGGCATCCATGGCCAGCAATGGACCACGCTGCAGGTTGACCATCCAGCACCGAGAGGTTTCCCAAAAATTCACATACATATCCTTAATAATCATGGCTGAAAGAGCCCTAAAGGTTCGAACTAATTCTGGTAATTATTAAAAATGTCTTTCAATAATATACCGTATTTGGACAGACGATGGCTACCGAAGACTTGTTAACTCGGAGAAGAGACTTACGCCCATGAACAATAATCTGAAAGGAGTGTGGGGATGAGGAGTGGAAATAACTGAATCTTAATGAGAGTCTGTTGGAGGTGTGAAAACAAGTTCAAAGACACTCTTGAATCCAAGTGGGCTCCTGGCTGTTCTCAAGGAAGGTGGTGTTCAGACCCATGGCTGCAGCTTTGTTGTCTCCTATTTCAGAATGGATGTTAGTCTTTCCCAGTCTCAGGATTGTTGCTTTTTGCTGGGCTGACCCTCTATGCAACTAGGACACCCATGCATGGGGGTGTGTGCACATGCATGTATGTCTGTGCACGTGAAGGAGGAGGAAGAATACAGAGGGTGCCACAGGGCATGCATTTCAGAAGGACACCTTGGGTACCACTGAAACAGCCATAATGTTGGTCTAATCAACCAAACACAATATTGGGTGCTGCTGTCCAAAGTCAGTGTGTGCCCTAGAGAGCACTGCGCTTCTTCCGCAGGGGGCTGTGGCCGCTGCAGAGTTTCAACTCCGCGTACTGCACCTGTGAAAACAAACAGCCGTGATGCTGGCGGTTAGGTAACCCTAGCTCACCACAGTGTGTGCTAATGGCTCCCCAAGGACAACCTAAGGCAAAGGAAGGAAGGTTCAAAGGTAATGAATCATTTTCTAAACACAGGAACATGGAGGGATTAATTGCAGGAAGGATTTGAGAAGTCATGCATCATTTCTTGAAACCAAAATATTAAAAGCAGATTTTTCTAATGAGATGCATGGGTTTCTACCTTCTCTGGGCACTGCAAGATGCTGTTCGTTTTGTGTGTGCCAGTTTTCAACCATAAGTAAGCTTAATAACTGCCTCTTGGGAATGTTTATCTTAGTATATGATACAGCAACTTAGGATTATTCATTTAAAAATATCTAAAATCTTGGGGAAAACATCTCAGAAAATTATATACATTTACTTTGCCTGAGAGGAAAAAATGCTGAAATTGATACCCCAAGACTTTTATATAGATTTCTCTTAGAAATTAATTTCATTTGCAATGTAATGGCTAAAACATCTGTGATAAATATGAGTACTCAGGAGTCCCCAGTGGCAAACTGTCACTGTGTTATTAGAAAGCGCCCTTGGCGAAACAGGGAGGATCTTACTCGCATACTGTATATCTTCCTGGAATGCTCTTTTGTCGCATCTCTCTGTGTTCATGCCAACTGCAACTGGAATGGCCACTTTGAGGGCTAGTGCCTGGACTGTGCACAGAGAATCCTTGGGGGCTCGATGGAAATTTCTATTCTTCAAGGATACAGCATGAACTCACACTGCGACCCAAGTGATGGTACGCTGCAAATGTATTGCTTTAGTGTATGGGCTTTGATAGGCTGCTGGTGGAATGGCTTTATTTAAAATATTGTATTACAGACCACATGTGCTCCCTATTTTTAGCATTTGTGCCAAATTCCCCAAGGACATTATGCCTGATCACAGAAGTCAGGCTGTACTTTGTCAGAGGCAGATAAATGAAGAAAACACCCCATTCCTTATGGTGTTTTGCGAAAGTGCCCTAAGGGAGCAGAGGATGACATACCTGTCAATCTTCAATGCAAAACAAACAGGGGCCCAGTTATTACTTTTTAATTAAGTAATACAAATGTTAAAGAGTAAATTCATCTTTATAGAATGTGTTTTCACAGCTAATTATAAAATGAAGTTTAAAGAAAGATAGCATCACAAAGTCCATTTTAATTTCTAGAACTGGGAATGAAGGGGGAAGAAACTCTAAGGCCTATCCGCCCCAGATCTTTGCAATGCCCCCTTAGCTGCCAGGGAACAAATTATGCTACAGTGACTCAAATATGAAAATCGATATTTGATTTGGGATTCTCTAAGATATTAAAGGATTGTGTCTTTGATCATCTTGATGATATTTCACGCCATGGTCTCCCCATCTACCTATTCAGTGATCTCTATTCTCCATTAGAGAAATTGCCGCCTGCCCTCCTTCCTCTGGATTTATAGCAGGCTGATCCACAGGGGCCAGGATCGAGCTACTCTACATGACTTTCCAGTATTGTTGCCTTCGTTAATCTCTGTGTATCCACAGAAACAGGACGCTGCTGGACTAAGTGACCATTATCTGTGAATAATACTTCTGATTGATCTCACATTATTTCACACTGTCTCTGCCTCTTTGTGTATTAGAGTAAATGGGGGCTGCACTCTCAGCATCCCTAAGTCTTCAGAGGGAAGGGGATAGAAGGGAGGCCTAGGAGATATATCAGGGCAAATGAGAATAAAAAGAATAATCCTCTTGTCCCCTGCTTCCCCTAAAATGCTTGCCACCCAGAAGAAGAAGAAGAAAATAAGCAAAACTCCCCGGCTTTGAATCTCATGCAATTCTACTCACTGAGCCCATTTTATCCTCTTTAGGGAGGCAAGCAATCAAAAGGGGACAAGCGTCAACGCACAGTAGCCACACAGTGTGAGTTTCAGAGCATTCTTAAGTAGCTCTTTTTCAAAACAATTTCCCCCAATCACCTCATGCTTTGGACAAAGATTTTCCTGCCACTTCCCTGCAAGCCAGGCCTCTTTAAGGATTTTCTGGTTCCTTATCTCAATTACTCACACAAGTGAAGCCTTGTGCTCCTCTGGCTCCAGGGCTGGCCAGATTTCAGGTCGGGGCCACTGTTGGTGGTGACCATTCATTACGTACCTTTTGAACATCAGATGGCACCCTAGAGAGGAAGTCTAGTAGCTCGTTATTGTCGATGGAATAGGGATTTCGAAGCTTCTTAGTAAATTTATTTATGCCTGAAAAATAGAAACACAGGAGATCTCTTTATCAATCAATCGATCATCTATCTATCTAGCATCTATCTTCAAAAACTTGCCTGACTGGGGGGAGAGGGGATATTCACAAGTAAAAATTAGTGTGAAAACAATTACCAGACCTCAAGTCATGCACATGTTGCTGTCATGTGGAATCATTCACAAACGCCTTTTCCTGAAGGCAGGAAGCAGGGGCTGGTGAAGAGGGGCTCTGCCTTCTTCAGCTGTGAAAATCCCATTACAATCCCAGCAGCAGGGCGACAGAAACACACGCTCAAACTGGGGAGCACGTTGGCTCTTTTGGAATACGCTGATTAACAGCCTCCTCTGCTATGAAAACAAATGTCCCAGATGGGAAAAGGCCTTCATTAGCCCAAACAAGTCCCTGCTTGGAGGCTCTGGACCAAACATAGCAGTGGGAGGCAGAGGGCGGGAGATGTTTTTTTGTTGTTACAGAGAAAACTGCAGTCATCCGTCTTTCCCCACCTCCAACTCATTTTCACAGGTTTCTCTCCTCTCACAGCAGAACAGAACCTGACATGTTGATTGTACTTTGATGCTGCAGGAAACTGTGAAAAGTTATTATTGGAAAATTATCTTACTATGGTTGCTAACTTAATTTATGGATCACAACGTCGGCGCGTGGGTCTGTCTGGGCAATGGAGAACATGCTAATTTAGGATAAGGACAATGATAATTAGAAACGGGTTCAACGTTTAAGACGTCGACATCCTATAGACTGTCCCTCTGTGGTGGTGGCACCTTGGGCTCCCCCGCATATCCAGGACACGCTCTGCCCCTGGCTAACTCTTTAGAGGGGAGTTCCTCTCAACCATGTTTTGTCTTCTACTCTGCTCTTTGGAGCTGCTTTGACTATATCCGGAGCTCATAAGCTGTAGTCTTTTCACCAAATGTCAACCTGCTTTTCATGTTGAGTTTTAGAAGCAGAAAGACTAGGTGGCCTTCTGAAGTTTTGCCACAGGGTGCTTGTTTAACAAGGATCATATCTGAAGGGCTGTCAGTCCCAATGATGCTGAATGAATTCTTAGCTTCGTTGTACTCTGAATGGCTCCTACTCAGAAGTCAAGGTAACATTTAACTGTTCACTAGTCCCCAACACACAAAGGGTTTGATTTTTTTTGTTGTTGTTCATTAAATATTATTTTGCTTTCATCTGAGGACTAGGCTTCCTGCATGGCATTATACCTGACACAATGCCAACCTCCAGTCATTTCTTTGGAGGGTCAGATTTACATCTGCTTTGCAAATGGGAGCCAGCCATTGTGCCCAAGTAAATGGTGGCTTGGCGGTTGGGCTGGTGAAGATTCCTAGCAAACGATCCCCTTTCCCTCAAGTCAAAGCTGCACTCTGCCTTTTTTCCCTCTACCCCCACAGCAAGCTTCATGTTTCTAGCTAAAATTTCCCCCAGTGTTCCTTTACATTAAAATACTCTCACTGTGTTATTCTAAAGACATTTAATTGTGGCATGGGCTTTTTGGCAAAAGAAAACACACAAGGCAAAATGATGAAGGGAGACAAAGACGTATTGAGAACAGATATATCTTCTATTGTTAATTATATATGGTGTGCGCATCTGGAGTCTTTACAATGAACAGCAAGGCAGGGATAATATCACAGCTGATCAAAACACTGCATTCTTAGTCACTGAGAAGATTATAAACCTGCACAGTAGCTCAAATGCACCAATAAGGGCAAAAGTATTCCACAATGCACTGAGACTATCTATGTTCGAAAAAAACCAGAATACAAATTATAGGGCACTCAGACTGCATGTTTTAAAGGCACACCTTATTTATGAAGGTGTCCAGGATCAAATGTTCCAATAATTCTGCCCTATTAACAACTGTGTGAGACTGACTGTCAACAGGAAATCATAGACTCCTTGGTTATTTTTTGTTTTAAGAGACGGGGTTTCGCCATGTTGATCAGGCTGGTCTTGAACCCCGACTTCAGGTGATCCACCCACCTCAGCCTCCCAAATTGCTGGGATTACAGGATGAGCCACCACACACGGCCACCTTGGTCATTCTTTAAGGGACAAGAAAACAAAGGTTATGATGTAGGAATACCTGGGCCCCAGTTTTGGCTTCATCATGTATTAGCTGTGTAATTTTAGAAAAATCACCTTCCTGTACCTCACACTTCTTACATTAACATTTGAATAATAAAGACCTCCTTATAGAGTTTCTTGGGTAGATGGGAGAATCACGTTGGGCAGTACAGGCAAAATGATACTGTAATCTGAAATTCTACAACAATGCAGAGGGCTACCATCATTACTGTAGATGCAAACAAGCTAAGGAGACAAAGGAAGTGAGGATGGAAAAGAGCCTTTAATACTATTAAAGTCAGCTATGATGACGTAGACACATTTAGAAACTGTGGCTTCATCTATTGGCATGCTAAACATACCTTAGATTTTTTTTAACCTAAATGGTACAGATGGAGAGTATATCTGTTGTAAAATTACTTTTAGCAAAAAAAAAAAAAAAAAAAAAAAAAAGAAAAGAAAACAGAAAAAAAAAACAAGTGGGATAAAATACTGAAGAAAAACATTTTGTTGGGAAAGATGCTATGTACTGGTCCCGGATCATAGATTGAATTGATCAGTGGGGTGGAATGAGCCCTACAGTTAAAAAAAATGTATCACTTGGAGAAAATCAGAAGAGATGAAAAATTGCATGGCTGCTTTGCACATTTGCCCACTTGAGAATAACCACTTGAAACACAATTATAACACCATTTTTCAGATAGTTACATGAGTGACCAGCAGGTAGCTCCAACTGTAATACACTGGTTGGGGTGAGGCAGGGGTTCCTTGCCTGTTCGTTTATCAAATTCTGAGTGTCTTCCATGTAGAGATATTGTGCTATGAAATGAAGATACAAACTTAAACAAGGAATAGGTCCTTCTTGCAAAAAACTAAAAATTTAGCTTAGAGAATTAATATCTACCTGAAAAAACAGAAGTGGTTTCAACTAGAACTGAAAAAGTATAATTAAAACCCTCTACGAATAGAAGGAATATGGGAAATCTCTCAAAAGGAAACCCACATGGGATCTAATCCTAAGAAATGCTCTGCCTTCTGGAAATACATACTTCATGTAAGTGACTAAAATGTAGTAGATAGTGTTTGCTAAAGAAAACTTCAGATATCCTTAAAATCTACTTCTCACTTAATTTTCAAAAATCACACTCCTACACAAGCGAGGTCATGGGCCTAACAAAATGTCAATGTCATCTATATAGAGCACAGGTATTAAACTTGCAGGCTCATTCATTCAGAAAAATATTTAAATACTCATTAAAGGTCTATTACATAAATGTGGCTACACTAAGAATTATAGGGCTAAAGAGGAAATAAAATATCTCACTTATCAAAATAATTTTGGGGTGTCCAAAAATATTCCCCATAGCTAATATGAAATTAGACTGTTTTTATGTGCTTATGTGAAATGATTCTAATACTTATACAAAAATATGACTTGAGGATATAGAACATGGAAATCTAGCATATACAGTTAAATTTTTTCAAAAAATTCAAAACATAGAACAAAACATTTAAGGATATTCACCATTTTAGCACTCAATAAAAAACGAATAAGTAACTTAGAATAAGAAAGTCTTCTGATCCTTAAAGTTAGAAAAACCACTAAAACTTTAAGACATATACATTTATCTCCTTTGTGAGAAAAAAATTGCTTCAAATGATGCAGTCATGTAAGAAATCTGCAAAACAGTGTCCTGGCCTATGCTAGCTAGGAACTAATTTGTCTTAGGATAAGTCCTAACAGAATTTCAGAATATATTCTAGGATGGCATAGCAGTTTTTACATAATGAGAAGAGGCAATAGATCACGTGGTAATTGTCAAGGCTTGTGACTACATTCACTATGGTAAGCTCATCAATAAACTATGAGCTCCTGTTTAAAATGTAAAACTGAAGAACCAGACATAGAGTACAAAGCTCAGAGGGTTACTATCGGCCCAAGAGAGCATAATAAACTCCATACCATTTAATAACTTTATCCATAAAATGAAAAATAGAGCAATATTTCACTAAGTAGATGCAGAAAGTTGTTGGAAAGCTGCCAAGATCTTGGAGGATAAGATCAGAAGTCAAAGTGATTTGGGTATAGAGAAAGAGGGACTGGAATCTCAAAACTGATGATCAAATGAGAAAATACAGTATTCGGTTTTGTTTGTTTGTTTGTCTGTTTGTTTGTTTTTGGAGATGGAGGCTTGCTCTGTTGCCCAGGCTGGAGTGCAGTGGCTTGATCTCAGTTCCCTGCAACCTCCGCCTCTCAGGTTCAAGCGATTCTCATGCCTCAGCCTCCCACGTAGGTAACTGGGATTACAGGTGCCTGCCATCACCCTGTCTTATGAAACAGGGTTTCACCATATTTCATAAGCTAGGCTGGTCTCAAACTCCTGACCTCAGGTGAACCGCCCGCTTCTGCCTCCCAAAGTGCTGGGATTACAGGCGTGAGCCACTGTATCCAGCCAGTATTAGTCCTCTTTGTGGAAGGAAAGATGCATAGAAACAGAACAAGCAAGCACCAGGATGATGAGGAAATCAAGAAGAAGCAGTGTTCAACAGCTGACCATGGCACTCAACTTACATGAACTTAAAAGTGAACAAACCACTAGCCAAATGATTGCAATTTTTAATCACATTCTGGTTAGGGTCAGACAACAATCTTAAGATCTATGTTCTAAATGTTATCAGTAAATAAGACAGTAGTACTCATGAAAACATAATTGAAAAATAAGATACCCAGTTGATGTGAATAACATTCAGTATATAAATTATTCAGGAAAATACTTCTTTAATTTTTTTTGCAGAATATGACTTCTTAATCAGTGGCCCTGAGGAGCTCTACGTTCTTTCTTAAGGATCAATTTGCTATTATTGTTGCCAAGTAAACAAAACATACCAACAAGAACTAAGCACAGATTAGACTTTCCTCCAAGAATCAGGATCATCAAGTATTAAAATAGATCCCTGAACAGTTTAGAGAATAATTGGATTATACTCTCTCAAAATCTCTAAATCATTCTACTTCTGTAACTGTATGAGCTATTCTATTTTTTCCACGACTTTTTTCCTATTGCCCAAGTTTGGCTTTTCTTGACAGCAGGATTCTACCTTTGTTGGATGGTCTTTGAAAAAAAATCTATATTTAATGGTTTTTAGAACGGTTGTAGCTTTCATCCAGCATTTGCAGTCTCTCAGCTTTTGCTTGAGAATGAATGCATCTCAACACAGTCTCTTCTCTTTGTGATTTCCCCAAACATCTTAACATCTGAAGATCCCTGGAAGTGATGACCATTGAGAACTCAGTGGCAGTCATAGCTAAGTCATGGAAAACCAGGATTGGCAGACCCTTTACGGAGAAGGGCTAACTGCTTCTCCAACATTTAAGTTATTGCAATTCCCTCTCCTTATATCAACTCAGAGCCCACCCAGGAACAGAAACAAATGTTCACCAAGCTGCTTGCATTTTGTCCAGTCGCTAGTTTGAGTATTAAATCAAGTCATGACATTTATTTCCAGTTTGCCAGTTTTGTTTCTACTTTCTTTTTAAAGCAGCTAAACTTTATATAGGCACACCATTTCCCCTGGTAAATAATAACTTCCTCTCTGTTCAGGCACTGGTTAGGTATTCACAGAATGCCCCCTCCCCTCCCTCTCCCTGCTTCTGGATTTAAGAATGGGGTTAGGTGAATTTTTTCCTCCAAGAGAGATGAAGTGTCAGAAGCAAACTGGTAGTGGCCAGATCCACTTTTATATAATATAAAGGGCATGATGCAGGTGTTTGCTCGCTATTTGAACAGTGTTTCCTTAAAGTTACCCGAGTACAGCAATATATTATTCAAGAGGATTTATGATTAGGAAAGCCCAAAGGGAAATGGCATGTACAATCACATTTTTATTTGATTGCAATTATGCAAGAGGCCTATAAATATCTACGCTGATCATTCAAGCAACTGGCCTTTTCAGGGAGGTCCTGGTAGTTTTTGTTCCCTAAATGCTTTCCTTAATCTCATGTTTAATTGCCAACAAGAGCACATTTAAAGTTAATAGTCGTACTTTAAAAATGAGTAATTGGTTCTTACCTGGAATTGATTGCTAGCAAAAGGACCATGCCAAACTTACCCCAGATTAAAATGATGTACCGCAGTGGAATGAAATACAAAATGATGGTGGCTGCTGCCAGAATCAAACAGGCCAGAGATGAAAGGAAGGGGACCGTCCAGTTAAATGTGCTGTAGACAAACCACATAAATATGATTTCCTCTGATGTTCGACAACTGCCACTGAGTCAACTTGTCATGTTTATTTCATGTTCATAGTTATAGAAGTCTACTGGAAAAATTTTGTTACAAACCTCGAGATGAGAGTCTGCCAAAATGATTGGGTACCAGAAATACATTCTTAAAGAGACAGTCACAAACCAATTGCCATTCAATTTGTCAGAATATTGGTGACTTTATCTCCCTGGAACCTTTAGTTCCTGAGAAGACCTTTGGCTCTCAAAAGTGATTAAAAACTGCAGTGTTACCAGCATGGCTCTGCATGGAGATCTTCAAAACTAAGGATTAGGTCACTTCTAAGTCAACAACTGTCTCTTAATAAACACATGATTACTAGTAATTATGGTAACCTTTCCTTTATCAGAAAAGAGAGGATTTTTTTTTTTCTTTTTTTTCTGTCTTTTTTGAGACAGGATCTTGCTCTATTATCCAGGCTGTAGTGCAATGATGCAGTCATAGCTCACTGCAGCCTCGACCTCCCAGCCTCAAACGATCCTCCTGCTTTAGCCTCCTTAGTAGCTGGGACTACAGGCAAGAGACACCACAGTCAGCTAATTTTAATTTTGAAAATTTTTGTAGAGCTCTGGCCTCCCTATGTCACCTCAGGCTAGTCTCAAACTCCTGGGGTCAAGCAATCCTCCTGCCTTGACCGCCCAAAGTGCTGGGATTATAGGTGTGAGCCACTGTGCCCCATGGGGAGGATATTATCACATGCCATTGGTGCTTTTGTGTTTACTAATAACTTGTATTTAGAATTTCCAGGCTTGTTTACACCAGAAATCTAACAGTGCCTTGAAATAAATGGGGAAGCATTTGACTATAAATTATTACACCACCATTGACAGATACTGTAGGTGATTACACTATGCATTATTTTCACAGAGCTCCTGGCTCCTTTTGTTGTATCTATTGCCTGCTTTGACTGCCATGGAAATGGAGATCTAGAAGATGGGACATGGACCTGGATATATTGTAGATGTTCACGTGCATTCCTAGAGATCGAAAGCCCTACTGAGGTACCTAGAGTATTTCTTCTTAATGGTCTTCATCTTCACATACAGATTTAAGTGTAGAGCCTCTTTGCCTTGTGCTAGGAATACAGAATAGTAAAATGTTTTTTATGGGAGGCGGGTGAGAATGGAGGTGGATTTTAGAGGGAATAGCACAAAGTTATTAAGCATTTTCTATGTGCCAGGCATTGTGCTAACATTGTTCACGTATTTAGAGTGTAATGTTCTCAATAATTCTGCCCCATTTTATAGATAAGCAAATTAAGGCTGACAGAGATTGTCTAACTTGTCCAAATAATCACAATTCTATCAACAGTATTGGAGAACTACAGTAAACTCATCCTCTGGTTAAGACTGTGGCTGGGTATGGTGGCTCATGTCTGTAATCCCAGCACTATGGGAGGACGAAGTGGGCAGATCACTTGAGGTCAGGAGTTCAAGGCCAGCCTGTTCAACATGGTGAAATCTCATCTCTACTCAAATATAAAGATCAGCTGGGCGTGGTGGTCTGCCCTGTAATCTCAGCTACTTGAGAGGCTGAGGCAGGAGAATCACTTGAACCCGGGAAACGGAGGTTGCAGTGAACCGAGATTGCATCATTGCACTCCAGCCTGGGCGACAAAGCAAGACTCCCTCTCAAAAACAAACAGAAGACTGAATGTTATTGTTTTTAATCTTTGCCTATTATGATGTAAAATATTATATATATATATGTCTTTAATTTTTTAATTCTTTAAGTTATAAACAAATTTGAATACCATTTAATATGCCTATTGGTCATTTTAACTTGTTTGTCTATGATTTCTAATCTTTTTTTTTTTTGGTCTGGGGCTATTATTTAGGAAAGTGTTTCAGAAAATTGATTTATAAGCAAAAACTGACTTGGGTTCAAGTTCAAGCTTTAGCTCAAGTTAAGTAACTCCCAGAAATTGAATCAGTCTGAACCATAATTTCGTCTGTAAAACTGGAATAATAATACCTATATCATAGATTCTGCTAGAATTACAAAGAACTTGCAGAATAGTTAGCTCAGTGTCTGGCACATTGTAAAAACTCAAAAAAAAAAAAAAGTTACTATTTGCTATTTGCTAGTTTTCTCCTGAGCTGTTTTGCTTAACTTTTTCCTCAGTGATTTCCAATATCACTTTGGATAGTAGAAAACTCAGACATTTGTCATGTTTGTTATATATAACATTTTTTCAGTTTGCTGCTTTATTTTGTTTATAATTAATATAAAAATTATAAATTTTCACATGAACAAATCTATCAGTTTTTCCTTGTCAATGTCTAGATTTGGCCAGGCTTACCAAAGCCCTCTCCTGATCCAGTGATGTGACTCCACCAACTGATCAATCACTATGTTTCCCCCTTCTTTATTATGCAATCTTTGTTATTCTGAATTTCTACATTTGTATAGGTCCATTCCCGACTTCTCTACTCCAGAGTAGAACTTGTAACAGAACTTTTTGGAGGGCAACTTTACAATATGTGTTGAAATGCTATCTGAACTCCACAATGGAACCAGTTCAGCATGGCAAGAAATTTAACTTGCAGCTTTCCTTGCCCGAGGGCACAGGGGCAGTACATAAATGTCTTCTCCAGGCTGGTTGGTAGTATTTAAATAAACTCAGCAAAATAAATATTGAAAAATCTCGAAATGAAGAAAAATTAATGAGATTTATACTCTGCAATAATATGCAGCTTAAAAAAAAGATGAGAATACACTAAAAACACTCACACTATCCCCCCCACCCTGTGGGCTCAAAGCTACATACAGTAAAAAACTAAACTGTAGAAATAATGTACATATATACAATAAGAAAAGACTTTCTATTTCATTGGTTGTATTTGATTATTTTTATAATTGATATATTTATAATAAAAGTAAGTAACAACTGTATCAGGTACAACAAATAACTAAAATAAATAAGGAAAAAGAAATTTGTCCCCTTTCCAACTTTTTTAAAGTGGAGACACAGTGGATGACAGATCCTGGACATAAATCCATAGCTAGGTGGCAACAAAAAACCCACTCTTTTTTTCCCCCCGGAAGATTACTAACTTTGTAGCCTATAATGTAAAAACAATTCCTGTGCAACTTTTGTTAGCTGTGTGGCCTTAAGTAATTTACTCCACCTCTCTATGCTTTGGTTTTCCCATCTGTAAAATGGGAATAATAACTGTATCTACTTTATAGAGCTGCTGAGGGGATTCCATAATTTTATACATATAAATTATTTATAAAAATATATGGCACATAGTCATTATTTAGTAAGTGTTAGCTACCCTCATTTTTCTCGTTGTTATTGCACAAAACACACAAATACGGAAAGAAAGTTATTGATATCAGGTAGAGTTTTGAAAATAATAGCGACAAACATGAATAAACTTTATCATTCCTTTTCTAGCAATACCATTCCACTTTGAAGAGAAAGTAAAACACTAATCAACAGAAAAAAAAAAAGCCATTACTAAGTTGACATGAAAATAGAAATATAATAGAGTATAAAAATACAGTAAATTGGAAGAACTCTTGGAGGGAACTAAGCTCCAATGTCAATTTTCACTCGAATATTTTCTGCCAAATATTGGGATTTTGAGCTTCTTTCTGCTGTCTGCATGGTACGATGGGAGGCTGGGGGCAGAAAAGGAAGCCTAGAACTCCCCATGGGGAGATTTTAATATGAGACCATCGCATAAAGCTTACATATTCAGGGTAAGAATAAGGAAGGAGGGACATATTGTACCATACAAGAGTGGACATAAATCATGACCTTGGTGCTAAGTGGAGAGATTTATCATCTGAGTTGATGCTACCAGTGTTGTTTGAAAAGCCTCAAGCAAAAGAATTTAAGGAACGACCCAGACTGGTAGGTCCTGGGATTGGCAGTATCCCAAGGTGACTTAAACAGTACTCCTCTCCAAGGAAATACATCATCAACTATGATGTTTGAGTACTTTCCACATGAAAATCCAAGGAATATAAGTGTATACTTAAAAATCCAAACCACAAAAGTACACATGACACCATGAGTAAGAGCCAACAAAATCTGAAAGATTTCAGATTCTGAAATCTAATCCAATATATTAAATCATAATGGTTAATATGTTAAAAATCATGTAAGAGACACTTGAAGATATAATCCAAAAGAAAATGAAAAAGAAGAAAAATTGATAAAGCAAATAGAATTATGAAAAGTGAAAACTACAATGATTGAAGTTAAAAACCCAATGAATGAATTGGACAGGATTTTAAACTGCAGAGAACTAATACAGTCCAAGATTTTCCAAAGAAAGTATTTAGAAGGCATCACAAAGAAGAAAAAGATGGCAGATATCAAAGAGATGTGGAACATAGATTAAGAAGGTTCCTGCACTGACTAGGAAGACATTAAAAGTGACAATATTGGACTGTGGCAAATAAAGCTGTTAACTCTTAAGATGACAACTAAAAGAATAGCAAGAGTGTTTCAATTCCTAGCAAGTGGAGGAAAGATATAGAAGAAATAAAAAGACACAGAACAAACAAGTAAATACTACTATTAATAAATTACAGATTTAAATCTAAATGCAATTGCAAATGTCATTAATTTTGCAGGGATTACATGCTACAGTGAAATGATAGTGATAGTGAGATACAAGAGAAACATTTGAAACAAAAAGACAGGTTGAAAGAAAAGTACAGAAAAGGAGACAAGAAAGGTGAGACAGTAGTCACCCCTTATCTGCAGTTTGGTTTTCTGTGGTTTCAGTTAGTCAGAGTTCCAAAATATTACATACAATAAGATATCTTAAAAGAGAGGGGAACACCACATTCACATAACTTTTATTACATTATCTTACTATAATTGTTCTATTTCATTATTATTGTTAATCCATTACTGTGCCTAATTTATAAAGTAAACTTTATCATAGGTCATGCACATATAAGAAAAAGCATAG